ATTGCAGCTTCTCAGCTGCCCAAAGTACTGTCCAAGTAGACCCAGAAATAGGTGCTGCCTGCCCACTCCCACCTGAGACCAGGATCTGGTATAAAGCAGGCAGAATCCCACTGGAAAAAAGCTGACCCACATCAGTTAAGGTAGAGTTCTGCCTAGGATTGGTGAAACAATACAGAAGGAAAGAAAAGGTAGAGCATTGTATGATATTCCAAGGCTGAGGCTACTAGCCGCTTCCCACTGGCCACTCTTCCTTCTTCCTTAGTTATTACTGAGACCAGATTTTTGGTTGGGCAAATGGCCACTGAGCTAAAGGACTACATTTCCCAGCTTCCCTTGTAGCTGGACATGACCATCCAATCAAGACCAGGCCAACGAAGTTGGAAGCGACTTTGGAAGTCTCCTTAAAGGGAGTGTGCCCTTTTGTTCTTCCTTATCCTGCTGTCTAGAATTCAGATGTGATAGCCAGAACGCCAGCAGCCATTTGGCACAATGGGAGATGACACGGGGGCTAGATGGAGACTAGACGCCCTCAGGACTTTGTGGCCCAGAACTGCCACACCAGCCCTGTTCTGTCTGCCGTAGGACCATTTTGCTTGTTTAATGTTAAGGTATAAATAAGCTTCTATCTTGCTTAAGCCACTCTTATTTTATAAATAGCAAAGCACTGGCTAAGTGTACGGAGATATATGTTCAAGGATGTATATTGACCAGTGATAGTGAAATGGAGCAGGACCCTACGGTCCTTGCCCCCATGTCCTCAGCCTGCCTTTTGTCTGTGGAAAAACTTTAGCCAAAGAATAAGTTTAACCAGAAAAGTGAGAAAATGCAGAAACAAAGGAAAACAGTCCAACAAAACTAAATAATAATAGTTTAGTCATTAAGCATAGTCAAGGACCTGTAGTTCCTTCTCAAAGGGCTATAGATAATATTCTGAGCCATATTCTATGAGCAGTCTTATAGAGAGTGAAACCCCTGCCAGCTGGAGAAGTTAACTGCATGATGATCAGGATGTAGCCATGACATAAGCTGCCACAATTCCGAGAACTGGCCTCAAGAAATGGAAGCAAACCAACCCTGGAACTAAAGATTAATTGTACTTAATCAGGATGACACTGGTCAGACCACTGATGATCAATTTCAAGATGACTGTCAGAGCCGACTATGCTGTTTCTGCATGTAGCCCCCTCCCTCTGTCTGTAAAGGCTCTTTTCCCCTGATTGTCGGGACGGGGGCGGGGGGGGGGACGTCGGCCTTTGGACAGGCATCTGCCTGCCACCCCCACCACCCGGTTGCTGGCATTCAAAATAAAGCAAACTTTCCTTTCCACCAAGCTTGCCTCTTTATTGGCTTTTGAGCTGCGAGCAGCTGGACCCCACTTCTGGTTACAATAGTAGCCAAAACTAATGAGTACATTTATCTCATTTACTATCAAAGCCCAGCCTCAGAAACTCAGGTCCTGCCACAACTAGGATCTGATCAAAAACCAAACTCAAACAAAATTAGTTGTTGAGACACACCTTAAAGAGATACCAAAAGGAAAAGGTTAGGAGTAAATGTGGGGGCAAAGGTCTTCCAGAAAAATGCAGGGTGGGAGGAGAGAGAGAGGGAGAGGTAGCTCTCAATATGGAATTTGATGGCAAAAGTCAAAAGTAGGAACTGAGACCCAGAGTCATTTCATATTGATAAAGACAAATTCATAATGGAGTCAAAACAGTGGTGAATATCTGTATTCTGAATAACATTCTCCAGAAGCCTCAGAAATGCTGGGAGAAAAGGACAGAAGCACAGTAAATGGTGGGGTTTTGACTCATTGTTTCAGGCCTTGAGAGCAGAAAAAGGTAAAAAATAAACAAGGATCTAGAAGAGGCAATAAATGATATGCAATAAATGATATGATAGGCATATGCCTATGTCTATTAAGGAATAAGTAAATAATTAAAGGGAGGAAGCGAATTTGCAGAAGATGGTTACCTTTTATCACTTGAACAGCTATTCAACTATGAGGTCAGCAAGGTGGCCAGTTACACATTGACAAATATGTAGTTTTCCTGAATAGAACCAGTTACAAAATAAGACTTCTATTGGGTTGTCATTTAGGAAAAATAAATAAAGTTGGACCTCTTTCTTATCTCTTACTCAGCCCCCACCCCCACCAAAAAAAACTCAATTTTAGCTGTATCAAATGTTTAAATATTTTTTAAATTAAAAAAAATCATAAAAATACTCCAAAGAACATATAGGCAGAGGGAACAGCTTGTGCAAAGGTCCTGGGGCAGGAATGAACCTAGGCCAGTGTGGCTGGAACAGTGGGCTTAAAGGGGAGAAGAGGGCAGACAGGGGAGATAAGGAACCTAAATTTCATTTATGTGCAATGGATCCCATGCACTGAGAGCCTAAATCCCCACGGCCCACAGAGCTTTCTCTGGGTCCTTAGGAAGGTGCCACCACAGCTGCAAGGGAACTGATTTGGCTCTGCAAGTTTCTGTTTCTTCACCTGGAAAAAAGTCGCAGTGGTGTAAGGTCCAGCGCGACCCATCTCCTTTATGGTTCCCCTGCCTTGGCTCACTCCCAGCCAGCCACACCAAGTGCCATGTGCTCCTGGACCCCGGCGACACAGCCATCAATGGCAGTGGATGGGGGATGTCCTAGGCAGAGGGACTTGCCTGTGCAGAGGCCTCGTTTCTTCAGAGATCTAAGGAGTGGCTCAGAGTGTGTTGGGGATATTGTTTAAAAGTGCACATCTCTGTGGGCTTCCCTGGTGGTGCAGTGGTTGAGAGTCCGCCTGCCAATGCAGGGGACACGGGTTCGTGCCCCGGTCTGGGAAGATCCCACATACCGCGAAGCAGCTGGCTGGGCCCATGAGCCATGGCCGCTGAGTCTGCGCGTCCGGAGCCTGTGCTCCGCAATGGGAGAGGCCCCAACAGTGAGAGGCCCGCGTACCGCAAAAAAAAAAAAAAAAAAGTGCACATCTCTGTTATCTGTTTTTCCACAGTGACCTTGCAGTTCTTGTTCATTCATTTATCCAGTATTTATTGGATACTTGGTGTGTGCTGGACACAACCTCTGCTCTCAGGAAAGTGTGGGAAGAAACAGTCACTAAGCAAAGTAGGAACAGAGCAAGTCAGCTGGTGATAGGGCTGTGGAGGGAAGAAGCTGGCCGGGGGAGCAGGCAATCGGGAAGGGTGGCTGCAATCGTAAATGGGGTTGTCAGAGGGAACTTGAAGGAAGCCTGGGAGTGAGCCATGTCAGGGGAAAGAGTGGTGGTGGGGGAGGGTGCAGCAATTGCAAAGGCCCTGGGGCAGGGTCTCACCTGTCTTGCCCCAGCCAGAAACAGGTATTGGTGTTGGAAGAACACCCAGGAGGCCAGCGTGGCTACAGCAATTCCCGTGGGGAGGAATGGGCAGGTCATGTAAGGGCCCTGTAGGCAAGAGTCTGGGGGTTTTCTCTGAGCTAAAATCTCCATTGCTGGACAGAGGTGGGACCAGCTCTAATTTCGTTTTTAACAGAACCATGCTGGCTGTTGTGAGGAGAATAATGGGGGGCCAGGGTGAAAGCAGGAGTGAAACTTGTTAACCCATTAGGAAGCTGGTGCAGTTCCCCAGGCAGAAAAGATAAAAACAATAACAGTAACAACAACTACAACAATGGCTGCTATTTCTCGCTGCTTGTCTTGCAGGCCTGGCGCTAAGCACTTCACACACACTATCCATCAAATCCTCTCAACAATCCTGGGACAAGCATTGTAATTGTCTCCATTTAAGAGATGAGGAAACTGAGGCTCAGAGAGGGAAAGTCATTTGCCCGAGGTCACACAGCTGGTCATCTGGGAGCTGAGGTTTGAGCCCAGGCATATCTGACTGTGGACCCAGCCCTCTTAACCAGCCTGAGCAGGGCCCTGGGGGTGAGGGGGTTAGGAAGCTGCTGCAGGGGCCAAGCTGAACAGGATCCCTTTCCACTCACCTCCAGTCTCCCCAGTACTTGGGCTAGGAAAGGGAGAAATGGGGTTCAGGCCCTGGAGAACCTGGGAGAGACTCCAAGACATATCTGTTTCCCGGGCCCCTTCGGTGACTGTGGGAGACCAGAAACCTAAGGCTTTGAGTGAGACACCTGAGATGCCCCCACAACAGATGGGCAAACACAGGGAAGCCAGAAGGACAGCCTCAGGCAAAGGTGTCCCTTCCCTTCCCATTCTTGCACAGAGAGCTGAGTCCCAGGCCCAAGGGAGTGAAGGGAGTAGAGGGTGAGGGGCCAGCACACCCTCAATGTGTGGGCTGGGCCATCTCCTCCCCCACCAGGCAGGAAGGGCCTTATCCAGCCTTGCTCATCAGAGCCCGAGCCTCCAACCCTGCGCTCGGTCCTGCTCTCTGCTTTCTTCCTTTACAGCATCGCTGGGCATCAGCTTGGGGACGGGAGCTTCTCTGTGTGCTGCTCTCTCCCACGTGAGCCCGGCCCTGTCCTCTCTCCCAGTGTCCAGATGGCCACCTGGTTTGCTAAGGGCTGGGCCACCTGATCGAGCCTGCCTCAACCATGTGTGCTAAGTCGGCCAGGGCAGCCCGGGCAGTGCCAGGTGACAGCATGGGCACTGGCCACACACTGCTCCCAGACAAGGGTCTGAGTCAATGTTGTCCCAGGTTCCAGACTCCTAGTAAGACTAGAGGGGTGGGGATGTGGTCCAGGCAGGAGCAAGATGGCTCTGAGTGGACAGAACAGGGAGACAGAGAGGGGCAAAAACAAAAAACCTAGAAGAAGAGATGGAGAGATAAAGACAGAGACTGAGACACAGAGGGACACAAAGAACCAAAAGCTTTAAGCAGAAATGGGCAGGAAGGCAGAGGCACAGAGGCAGGGCAAAAGGAGGGGCTGAGATGAACAGGAGGTAGAAGCAGAGGGGAGAGTCTGTGTGTGCTGGAGGCCCAGCCCAGGTAAGCCACCGCCCTCGTGGCTCACATCCACGTGTATCAAGAGGGCTTCACCTCTCCTCGCCATAAGCTTGGCGTTACCTTGGGCCGCATCCCATCTCAATGTTCCCATCTCACAGACGTGGGGAATCCAGGCCCAGAGAGGAAGCAGTGCTTGCCCACACCTTATCCAACCTCTGGTCAACCAGGCCTGTGCTCACTTGGCTGTGCACCCTCCAGCCAGCTGCTCACCTTCTCTGGGTCTCTGTGTCTCCAAAGGGTCTGAGGATGCCCAGGCTTTTAGCGCTCGGCTGCCGGGGAGGAAGCAAGGAGATAACAGGACCCCAGCCAGCCAGTGGGGACTGTCAGTTCCCTTTCTCCCTCTCGCCTCTCCCAGGGCCTGGAAGGGCTTCAGGCCTCCCAAGGGGCTGACCTTGGCTGGGTTCCTCTCCCCTCAGTGCCCATCCCAACCCTCGGTCTCCGTGCCAGGCTGGTGAGATTCCGGCCCCCACCTGGTAGGAACAGCTGTCCCAATGGTGTGGAGATGCAGCCGGGTAGAGGTCGGGGGGGGCGCAGTCTTTTGGCCTGGGGAGGAGGGGTCTGGAGTACACCCAGCCGGCTCAGGGTGTCCCAACTCCAGCCGGACCTGTGGGCCAGCGGAGGAGGAGACCCTTCTTCCCCGCTATCCCTCGGTCTCCAACCCAGCAGCTGAAATTTCCTTTCTCCACGGCCAAGGGAAAGGCCATGGGCCACCTGCTGTCCCCGGACTAAACTGGCCCCTGGTACCTGCAGCTGTGCACTTACAGGCCTGAGTCGCCCAGCTCGGCTGGCTTACCTGCTGGTCCTGTTCCCAAGTGGCTCTGCAGGGGAGGGGCCAGAGGCAGCCGGTTAGTATTAACCTGTCCCCGCCCCAAGGAGGGGGAAAGGCGCGGGCAGGGTGGGCGGGGCTCACTGAGAGCCTAACTGTGTGTTTGAATCAGCCCAAGCAGCCCAATCCAGAGGATCCTGATGATTCAACTTAACAATAAAGGGCTCATTACTCAGCGCTTTAACCCCCAGAAGACAAAAGAGCTGGCCAGGCATTGGCTCCGGCCCCACCTTCGGGCCACCGTAATTCCCTTCGTGCAGGAATGGCGCCCCCTGGAGCAGAAACTCGTGGTTCAAATAGTGGTGCTTAAATAAGTCACTTGGAAAGTGGGGATAATAATAACGCCCTCCTTGTGGAGCAGAAGTCAAAACAGCCAGTGTGTGCTGAGCGGACTCTGTGCCAGGCCCTGAGCTTGAGGTGCACTAATACGTTTAATCTACCACAGGATTTTTTTTTTTTTTGCGGTACGCGGGCCTCTCAGTGTTGTGGCCTCTCCCGTTGCAGAGCACAGGCTCCGGACGCGCAGGCTCAGCGGCCATGGCTCACGGGCCCAGGCGCTCCGCGGCATGTGGGATCTTCCCGGACCGGGGCACGAACCCGTGTACCCTGCATCGGCAGGCGGACTCTCAACCACTGCGCCACCAGGGAAGCCCACAGGTTTTTTAAAAAAATTTATTTTTTATTATTTATTTATTTTTGGCTGCGTTGGGTCTTCGTTGCTGCACGTGGGCTTTCTATAGTTGCGGTGCGCGGGCTTCTCGTTGCGGTGGCTTCTCTTGTTGTGCAGCACAGGCTCTAGGCGTGCAGGCTTCAGTAGTTGTGGCACGTGGGCTCAGTAGTTGTGGCTCGTGGGCTCAGTAGTTGTGGCTCGTGGGCTCTAGAGCACAGGCTCAGTAGTTGTGGCCCATGGGCTTAGTTGCTCCGCGGCATGTGGGATCTTCCCAGACCAGGGCTCGAACCTGTGTCCCCTGCATTGGCAGGAGGATTCTTAACCACTACGCCACCAGGGAAGCCCTACCACAGGCTTTTGGGGAGATACAACTACTATCCCCATTTTACGAACGAGGAACCGGAGGCCTAGAGAAGTCAAGAGTCTGGCAGAGCTGGTCTCTGATATCCACTGACAAATACAATTCTGCCGCATAGTAATAGTTCATATCCAGTGAACTATAATAGTCCAATATCCAGTTAAATCTGTTAATCCTAGGCAGGTGCTACTTTTATTCCCTACTTTGTAGATGGGGAAACTGAGGCTCAAAGAGGTTAAGTGACTCCCTCAAGGTGCTATAGCCGGTAAGTGCGGGTCAGGATTCGAACCCAGACTCAAACTTGTGCACACACGGTGTGAAATGAATCTCACAGGGCCTGGCTCACTGTGTGTTGAGGTCTACGAATAATGCTGGCTTGCTTTTTGTCTTATTCTCCGAGACAGTCATTTACTTGATAAGCAGTCACTCCCCTGGCAAATGCTTGGGGTGAGAGGTAAGCAGACCCCAGGGGTGGAGACCGGACCCCTCTCTCAGCTGGCAGGGGCTCAGGAAGTGATGAACCCAACACTTTGGGTTGTAGGGACACAAGAATTTGCTCGTCCTCTACCAGGATGCAGTGTGAGGCTGCTGCCCCCCCAAATCTCTCCTTCCCAGTGATGCCCCCTCCCGACTCTCAGGAAGTTCTGTCTAAGGTGTGACCCACATCCATCTCACGGGTGCTTCTTATATCATTTTTATTTTTAACTTAAAAAATATATCTTTGGGGAATTCCCTGGCTGTCCAGTGGTTAGGGCTCCGAGCTTCCACTGCAGGGGGTGTGTGTTCGATCCCTGGTTGGAGAACTAAGATCCCGCATGCCAGTGGCGTGGCAAAAAAAAAAAGAAAAAAAAATCTATATCTATCTGTATATCTTTATTGTCAACCTTCAAAGACTCCCCCGTTGCTCACCAAATGAAGAGAAATGCCCAAGCCTCGCATTTACATCCTTCCTCAGCTGGGACCAATAAATCTTGACAACTTTATCACTTCCTCTTTCTTACATGTAGCCTTTGCTACTTACAGCCAGAACTGCTCACAATTCTCTAAGTGTTTGCAGTACTTTTAAGCCACCAAAATTTCCGTACTGATCCTTCTATTAGAATATCCGTTCTGCCCCATCTTTTTCTGCGACAATCCTACACATGTTTCAAAGCCAATCTCAAATACCACCTCCTCTAAAGAAACCTTTCTTGACATGTGTCTAATATAACCAGTATACCCTGGGAATTTAATGTTTGTTGCATATGTGAATGAATGAACCCCAGCCAAAAGGTTCCCCACTTCCTTGTCATCTCCAGATATTTGTATAGTATTTGTTGTTTAATTGACATTAATTAATTAAAAGTTGTTAGCAGTTTTAGGTTGATGGGAAAACATTCTTTACACAGTGGGGCAATACAGTGGGGGCACATCCACCACGTCATTCTGAAGCTTGCTTTTTCTGCTTAATATCTTAGAGATCTTTCTATATTCCCAGCATTGAGACCTTCATTCATTGGCTTCATTCATTCAACAAACTTTTATTAAGTGTCAGTTGTATGTCAGGCACTGTGAGAGAAGCTTAGGATATAAAACTGAACAAAATAGACAAAGCTGTTGTCCTTGGAGAGCTGATATTCTTTCTGGTGGAGCAAGATGAACAATAAATGGTAAAGAATAAGGAAATTATTCAGTACGTTAGAGGATGTTCTCTGTAGAAAAAAGAGAGAGCAGGGTGAGGGGAAGGTGGAGTGGGGAAGGACCCAGCGGGGGCAGGTTGCAGAGTGCAGGGAGCCTGTAGAGCCACTTTGAGGGAGTCCCAGGACGGGAACGGCAGGACCTTGCAGTGTTCCATCACCCAAAAGCACAGGGGTGAATTTAGCCTGCCCCCATTGCTGGGTGCCTGTCATTTACCATCAAGAACAACGCCGCAACAAATACCGTGGCAATCTGTCTTTTTGCCCAGGTGTGAAATACCTGTAGAATCAATCCCTGGCCGTGAACTACAACATACTTGAGAGCGATCACCCAGTTGCTCTCCAAGGACGCTGCACCAGGACCACGAGTCCTCCACAAAGCGCTGCCCCGGGCGCTCTCAAACAGGTAGACTCTTCTGGCCTGTCAGGAGGTCGCTCATATTCCACCAAGAGAGTTTCCAGGGCAGACATCAGCTGATCCGTGGCGGGTCCCCCAGGGCAGGCACCGGAGGTTCACTCGCAGTTGCGGAGATGTGCTGCGCTTTCTGAACGGGTTGATGGGCAATTGGATTAGGGGCTGAAGGCGCCACTGCCGTTACTCAGAGAAGCCACCAGGGGGTGCAGGAAGCCCCAAACTCCGGGGAGATGGACCTTGCAAAGGGCATCTGGACTCTTAGAACTTTCTCACTGGGGTTGTGTGGGGCCTAAGTGCCAAGGTGAGAAAGGAGAAGGAGGAAAGAGAGCAGGAGAAAATAAGACGCGGGAAAAGAGGATTAGGGAAAGGGGCTTCCAAGGGTGCCTCCAGACCAGTTTCAGTACTTGTTTGCTCCCTGCTCAGGGCTCCCAGCATGGTGCAGACCCCACCAAAGGGAATACAATCTCATATCCATGAATTGAATTCAAGAGTCCAGAACAGACTGGAGAAAAAATTCACAAGATAAATATGTACAGTATGATGATTCCATTTGTGTAAATAAATTATATTCTCCACAAATAAAAGCTACATATTCTTTAGGGCTGCATGTGTGTTTACCACATATACGTCTATATGAAAAAATCTGGAAAGATGAATTTCAAATTGGCAACAGTGGTTACCTTTGGGACTGTGTGTGTGGAGGTGGTCAGGGAATAGGAAGTGGAATGAAGAGGACTTTAGACTTAAATGAAATATCTTACTTTTCTAGGAGTCTATAACCCTGTTAGTTGTGTAACCTAGAATTAAAAATTGCTGAAAAAAAGAAAAAAAGTGAAGAAAAAGAAATAAAAGAAACATCAAATGCCATCCTAGTGTCGCATCAATAGAAGTCTTACCTGCAGCTCAAGGGGGGTGACAGCCTCCTCTGCTCTGCTGAGAGCGTACCTAGGACCTCCTTTCCTCTCCTTGTCTCTGTCCTGTGTGAAGAACAATGACAGCTCAAGGCATGCCAAGAGTTGAAGGTGGGGGGAATTATGGTGCCACCTGAATGGGGTGTGCTGATGGGGGAGAACGCCCCTTACCCAAATTGGAAAAACTGGGCTGGAATGGGAACAACTTTCAGGTTTGTATGTAGCAAATGGGTCCCTGCTGACAGACCTCTGCTGGGCAGGGTCCTGCCCTGGGGCAGGATTCCAAGAGTGAAGGATGGTGGAAATTCCAGCGCAGATGGGGTAGAGATTTCCCATCTAGCTAAGTAGGGAAGGTGTGGGCTAATCTGGGGATTTGGAATGTATGCAAGATGAGGCAGCATGATGCTTCCTAGGAATGTAGGAGTGCCAAGGATGGACTCCCAGCATCCTATGGGAGGTTGTGGGGGATTTCGTGAAATGCCCACTCAGCTCTGGAAAACAACAGCTGGGAGGCCAGAAGGAGCAGCCATTGAGATGGAGATCAGACCTCAACCGTAGGTGGGCCTCCGTATCTTCATCTGTAAAATGGGTGAGGGCTGGGGTATGGTCTCTGATTTTTTTCCAGTCAAGTATGTTCCAGGGTTCATACTCTTCCTTATGGCCCTCAGCCTGAGGATTTGCAGTTCCAATCATTGGCCACCAGAGGTCGCCTCTGACAGGCTTGAAGAAGAAAAAAGCCAGCCTGGTCTGAAGAGGAACCTGAGGCTGGGAGTCTATTTCTTCCTTTCTCTCTCTTTAACGTGACTATTGATTGAGATTAACTCTGTCCCTGCACCGGGGATACAGCAAGGAACACGGTCTCTGAAATGGAGCTGCTCTCTCCTCTCCGAACTCCTGTTTTTCTCGCACACCCCACATCTAATCTCTTAGCAGATCCTTCGGGACCAAGAATCGGGCCACTCGGTACCCTTCCACTGCCACCACCCTGTCCAGCCTCCTTCATGTCCTGCCTGGACTTCTGCGGTCATCTCTTCACTGGCCATCCTACTTCTCGCCCTTCTGCCCTTCACAGCACGACTCAGAGCCTGTCCTGCCTCTGCTCAGAACCCTCCCAGCCCTGCTGGGTTCCTCCCCATGGACAGGCCCCGTGGGGTTCTGCTCCCATCACACTGAGCACGGCTTCCTCCCTCCCCCGTCACTCTCCACTCCAGCCACACTGGCCTCCCTGCTGTCTCTCACGTGGCAAACTCGTGCCCTGCCTCAGGGCCTTTGCCCTTGCTCTTCCCTCTACCTGGGGCTCTTTCTCCAGGCAACCCCGTGGCCCCTCCCTCACTTTATTAAGGTCTCTGCTCAAACTCACTCTTCAGAGGTGACCCCTTATTAAAATAGCCTGGTCGCCGACTCTGTCTCCCTGCACATGCCGCTCCCGTTTTCTTCACTGTGCCCTTGATGCTGTGTTACGTGTTCTCTCATGTACCTTGTTTGGTGTCTGACTCCCACCAGCATCAGCTCGACAAGGGTGGGGACCATGTCTGATTTGTTCCGGGCTGAGGCCCTGGTATCTAGTTTGTACCTGGCACACAGATAAGCTCAGGAAATATTTGTTGACTGATGAGTGACAGGGGAGACCTTGAGAAGGGACAGCTGGGCGTGAGGGTAAGAGTGACTTTCAGTGAGTGACAGGTGGAGGGGAGCTGGGCTGCACTGATGGAGGGGGGATCCTCTCTTGTTGGAGGGCACCGTGCCCTCATCTCAACCTCCTCACACTTCTGTCCCCCACCCTCCCGCAATGACCCTGACTTGCTGGGGGCCAGAGGCAGGCTTCTGACCCTTTTGGCACCACAGGCCTTCTCTTCACCTCTTCCCTCTGCAGGACTGTGTGTCCTGGGCCCTCAGGAAGCACCCAGACCCTGGAGACAGGGCATCTGAGTCAGACCTGGGCCTGTTTCCCCATCTGTCTAGTGAGGTAGCCAGTGAGAGGCAGATGCCCAGGCCCAGGTCCAGGTCCAAAGTGGGGGGATGGGCTGATGTGAAGGGCTGTGCCCTCTGCCCCTCCCCACTCCAGACACTGGCAGTGTGGCCGGGCCCCTCGAGGACAGCTAAGCTGTTGGCTTCCTGCCTGACTCCAAACCTGAGAGCAGATATACCGGGGAGCGGACAGTCAGCGGCAAGGCCTGCGGAGCTGCTCAGAGCACCAGAAGCCAGCCCTGAGGAGAGAATCAGGGGGGCCCAGGGGAAGGAGCTCCAAGCTTCTGGTTTTCCCAACCCAGAATGTTCTTCCCACCTCGCCCAGGCTTCCTTCACTCTCATGGCATGTTCACAATTTTGACCACGCCCAGAGTCTGCCATTAATGATTGTTTCTTAACGTGTTTTCTTCAAATCAACTGGCTAACATTGAATTCGAATAATTTTAGACACACAGAAAAATACAGAATACATTATGAACTACATACCCAATACCCATATTTAACATTGGCATTTTCCATATTTGCTTCATCTATTTCTTTCTGAAATATCTTAATGTGAATTATAGATAGCATCCATTTTTGTCCCCAAATACTTTAGTTTGCATGTCCAAAAAGTAAGGCTATTTCCAGGGCCACTGTTTCACTTAATAATATCAACATTTCTCTGATATCTAATATTTAGTCCACAACTGACTTCCTTAATTTTCTCCAAAATGTGTTTTACAGTTGACCATGGATTCATTGTAAAAGGAAACTTGACACACGAAATGAAAAGCAAGTATCTTCTGCCATGAACAGAATGTACCTCTGGAAATGGAGACAGTGTTTCAGGCTGATGCGGTGCCCAGGCTGCAGCTGAGGCCTGCTCTCCACTTGTTATGCAGGAGACTCGTGGGCACTGGTGTCAAACACAGAGCAGCAGAGAAGACTTTCTCACTGATGTAAGGAGACTTGAAAAGGACTCAGAAAGGGAATCACCTTTTCCACATTGGGGTCAGAGTTATTTAATGCGGGACTGGTCTGCAGGGACAGGGAGGTGTGGGCGGGTACATGAAAAGGTACTCAACATCACTAATCATGTGGCCCATTCCCAAGACTCCAGAAGGTTCTGGGGAAGGACCTGGGATTCCTGGAAGACCATGCTGCAGTGGGAAGAACACTGGAGGGGAGTTGGGAAGGGGTGGATCTGTCCCTGCTCTGATTTGGGCCTCTGTGTTTCTGTCTGTAAAGCTGGGGAAATAGTGATGCCAGGACAGGTCTTCCACCCCACCCCTCCCCCGCTCCTGCCAGGGATCCTGAGGACCTGCGTGCCCTTCGTGCCCTGGCTTCCCATCTCTTCCAGCTCCATACCTCTTTCTCTGTTCCCCTCCTGTGCTCTGGCTCGGTCTTCCTGCTCACTCTCTGGGCTGCAGCCCAGACATGACTTCCTTCTAGAAGCCTGCCCTGCCCCCTCGTCTGGATCCCACAGCTGCCGTGATCACTCACAACTGTAATCCCTGTGCCTTCTCTGTCTCCCCCACTGGCTATGGGCATGGAAAGCAGAGAGCTTCTGTCTTGTTCACCACTGTATTCCCAGCCGCCACCTCAGTGCCTGGCACATAGTAGGATCTCAGTAAATTTGTTGAATGAACAAATGATTATCATTGCATTTCTCATACCAATCTCTTTGCCTCTTCGGGGGTTTCAGAATGGGCATTTGGTCCTTCATTCATTCATGTACATATATATATATATATATTTACATTTTCTTTCTCCATTAATCTGTTGATAGACACATTGTTTCCATGTTTTGGCTATTGTAAATAATGCTACAATGAATATGGGGGTGCAGAAATCTCCTTGAGATAGTGATTTCATTTCCTTTGGGGCTCTACTTGGGAGTGGAATTGCTGGTATGGTAGTTCTATTTTTAATTTTTTGAGAAACTTCCATACTGCTTTCCAGAGTGGTTGTGCCAGTTTACCTTCCCACCAGTAGTGCACAATGGTTTCCCTTTCTCCACATCCTCACCAACACTTGTTATCTCTTGTCTTTTTTTTTTTTTAAATCTCTTGTCTTTTTGATGACAATCATTCTGACACGTGTGAGGTGATATCTCTGTGGTTTTGACTTGCATTTCCCTGATGATTAGTGATGTTGAGTACCTTTTCATGTACCTGTTGGCCATTTGTATGTCTTCCTTGGAGAAATGTCTATTCAGGGATCAATCCCTTGAAGCCCGTGCACCGCAATGAAGAGTGGCCCCCCTGCTCAACGCAACTAGAGGAAGCCTGTGAGCAGCAATGAAGACGCAACACAGTCAAAAAAAAAAAAAAAAAAAGTACTTTAAAGGATCAATCACTTATCAGATATATGATTTGCAAATATTTTCTCCTATCCTTTAGGTTGCCTTTTTATTTTGTTAATTGTTTCTTCTTTTTTAAAAAATAAATTTATTTATTTAATTTTTGGCTACATTGGGTCTTGGTTGCTGCATGCAGGCTTTCTCTAGTTGCAGCCAGCAGGGGCTTCTCTTGTTGCAGAGCATGGGCTCTAGGTGCGCAGGCTTCAGTAGTTGTGGCATGTGGGCTCAGTAGTTGTGGCTTGCGGGCTCTAGAGCACAGGCTCAGTAGTTGTGATATACGAGCTAAGTTGCTCTGTGGTATGTGGGATCTTCCTGGACCAGGGCTCAAACCCGTGTCCCCTGCATTGGCAGGTGGATTCTTAACCACTGCGCCACCAGGAAGTCCTGTTAATTGTTTCTTTTGCTGTACAGAAGCTTTTTGGTTTGATGTAGTCCTAGTTGTTGATTTTTGCTTTTGTTGTGTGCTTTTGGTGTCATATCTAAAATATTGCCAAAACCAATGTCGAGGCATTTCATACTCATGTTTTCTTGTAGGAGTTTTACAGTTTCAGATCTTAGGTTTAAGTTTTTAATCCATTTCCAGTTAATATTTTGAGTGTTGTAAGATAGGGGTCCAATTGCATTGTTTGCATGTGGATATCCACTTTTCCAAACACTGTTTATTGAAGAGACTATCTTTTCCTCATTGAGCATTCTTGGTTCCTTTGTCAAGTATTAGTTGACCATATATGCATGGGTTTATTTCTGGGCCCTCGATTGTTTTTATACCAGTAACATACTGTTTTGATTACTATAGTTTTGTAATATTGATTGATATTTTTAAAAGATCTGCTTGCACTTGCTGGAAGATGGATGTGGGGAGAGAGGGCAGGAGTGGCCCAGAGTCTGAAGCAGGGTCCAGGCATAGATGGGACAGATGAGCCCATTTTGTGCCCATCCTCAGGGTGAGGAGTCTGAGGAATCTGTGCTGAGAATGGGCCTGGGGCTTGCAGTGTCTGGACCTGAGAGTTGGGCCCCAGCAATAGAGAAAGGGAGGTGGGGGTAGCACCGCAGGCTCATTTGCATCTGATTTGCATATAGAATAGAGAGGTCAAGTTGAAAGCTGAAAAGGCCTGCTCCAGGCCCTTAGGTGGAGGGTCTTGGGTGTTAAGTTTCCACAAAGATTCTGTCTCTGGGGCCACGACCTTCCAGTTCTAGATGGGCTCTACTCCCCCGCAGCTGCACTCTGGCCTGGCCCTGCCATCTGGGGTTGGAACACTAGGAGGACAAAGGCCCCTCACTCTCAGAACACTCTTCCCCCTGCAAAATCCCATCTGTCAGGCCCAGCCTCTGACCTTCCGGGCTCACAGGCTGTAGGGTTGGGGAGGGGAGACCCCCGAGCCCTGAGGGGACCCAAGCCTCCCCTCCCAGCCTCCACCATCTGTCCTGGTCTGCACAGGCGTCCTCTTGCTTCTGTCGCCTGAGCAGTGTAATCCGGGCTAGTCACCTCCCCTTTCTGGGCCTTGGTTTCCCCATGTGTCACATTGCAGACGTGGGATTGGGTGGAGTATCATTTGTCACAATTAGAAAAATACTGGGGAAAATATAATGGAATAGGAACAAAACGGTGTTATTAAATTCTAGTCTACCTTCAAGTAAAAGAAGCCAGGCACATTTACTTCCTTGAGGTAACCAGACTTGGTGCAAGGGAGGAGAAGAGGAGTAACTTTGACTCTAGAGCTATGCTATTGAGTACAATAGCCGCTAGCCTTGTGTGGTTATTTTCATTTAAATTAATTAAAATTCAATAAAATGTAAAATTCAGTTCCTCAGTTGTGCTTAATAACATTTCAAGGTCTCAATATCCATGTGTGGCTAGTGGCTACTCTACAGGACAAATATAGAACATTTCACCCACATAGAACGTTCTAGCAGACAGTGCTGCCCTAGAGGATTTATTGGGTACATCTAATTAAAAACAGTTATCCCTCTTTTCTCCTACTGTGGGAAACATTGGGTTTGATTTTTAACCTCACAGTGAAAACCACCATCTCTTTCTTTCTCTTTTATTTTTTAGGGTATTGTACTTTTTAAAATATTTTTTATTGAAGTATAGTTGATTTACAAGATTGTGTTGGTTTCAGGTGTACCACAAAGTGATCCAGTTATATATATATATATATATATATATATTCCTTTTTAGGCTCTTTCCTATTATAGGTTATTACACGATATTGAGTATAGTTCCCTGTGCTATGTAGTAGGACCTTGACTATCATCTCTTTCCACTCTGACTTGCCCTGGTGTCAGCTGATGGCCTAAGGACCATTTCACTATCACAGTCTAAGGGATGAACATGATGGGCATCTAGGGTTTTAGACTGAAGGGATTCTAAGGATTTGATGACCTCAGGATTTAAAAATTCTGGGATTTTCAGGTTCAGAACTTGTCCGCACTCCTGAAACCCGAAGGATTTGGGAGTGGAGAGCTGATGGAGCTCAGCTGGGGCCAAATCCCCCCTCATCCTCAGGCTTGTCTGCCCCCTCCCCTACTTCCCTCAGCGGCCCACCTCTCCCCTACCCCCAGAAGACTGTTGGACGCCCTAGTTGTTTGTGCTGGCACCTGGTGCAGCTGGCTTCCTGGCTCCAGGACCCAAGCCCGTGTGCTCTCTGCCAGGATCTGAGGAGATCTGTCGGGAGCCCCCGTGACTGTGCTGGATAATCTCTGATATTGTCATTAGCATAGCACCCTTTTATTGAGCCACACTCTGGCCAGGTTTTGCTGTCATCATCTTGGGTACTCAAGGTAACACCTTACAATGTAGGTGAAATTATTCTTCTGATTACAGATGAGGAAACGGAAAGTTCAGAGTTTAAGGAACTTTCCCAAGTCAGGTAGCTAGTGGGTGGTAGAGCTGGGATTGGAACCATGACTGGCTGACCCCAGAATTCCCAGTCTTGACCTTAAACTGCTGCTCTTTATGTTTAAAATAGAAACTCCCCTCTGTGGCCTACAGACTCTCAGCAATTTAACACCAGTCTCTTTCTCTGCCTGCATTCTAGCCACTGGCTTTTTGGCTCCAATGCACTAAGCTCATTCTTACCCCAGGCCCTTTGCACATGCTGCTCCCTCTCATCCTTCCTCTTGATTTCCACGTGGCTGCCTCTTTCTTACCCTTTGTGTCTCACCTCAGAGGAGAGGCCTCCCTGACCATGCTATATAAAGCAGCCTCTTCTCTTTCATGCCTGTTTCCTTACTTTGCTTTATTTTTATTTATAACATTTCTCATTTCTTGGTTCACTTGCTCATCTATTGTTCTGTCTCCCTCACTAGCATGTAACTCCTTGTGTTTTCATCTCTCTTCCTAGTAATTGGCACAGACCAGGGGCTCAGATAATATTTGTTGAATGAGTGAATACATCTTGAAACAAGACAAGAGGAAGTCAAGGAGGGAGGTCTGCAGGGGCCTCCAAACAAGGAGCTGCCATCTCCTAATTGTCCAGACAGAAAGCTGAGCCTCAGAAAGATGGAGAGGCAGAGGCACGCTCAGCCCCAGCAGCAGCTCAGTGATAACAGTCCCACCTGGACAGCTCAGCCCTGTCTTTATACTTGCCAAGCCCTTTCTCAGATGCTATATCCTGGGAGCTATCATCATCTCCATTTACCTGATAAAAGCCCGAAGCCTGCAAGCTCAGGAGACTCCCAGCTGGGAGGGTCACTGTAGTGTCAGAGCAGGGGTCCCAGGTTTCCTATCTCTGTGCAGGTGCTGGCTTCACTCTCAACCCTTGCTGGGGCAAGGGGTTGAAAAGAACAGACTCTGCGTCCAATCTCCCTCCCCGACACAATAGAAAGGGGCCACAGACCTGTCCACAGTGAGCTTTACTCACTGTTGGGTTTTACTCTGATGGAACAGCCCAGGATGCAAGCCAGAAACTTTTTAGTGGAACCAGAATTTCACTCTGACCCATAACAGTAATTCCAATAGTAGTAGTGGTAGTAATCATGAGGTTTGTTGATCACTTACCATATGTGACAAGTCCCGTGCAGAATGCTTGATTCCCATTATCTCATCTGACTTTCATAACATCCTTGTGAAGCGATATCACCATTCCCAGTTTGTAGTGGCGGAGATGTAGCTCAGAGAGGTGGAGCCACTTTTCCAGGATCACACAGCCAAGAGAATGTGGAACCAGCATTTGAACACATGTCCATCAGGGCCCCCGACCTGCACCATTCACCCCTCTGGAAGGCCCTTGGGAGGAGGGAAGCAGGGAGGATAGGGGATGTACGGGAGCAGTGGACAGGCTGTTTCTCAGTTCTGTTCTCAAATATTAATTGAGTGCCTGCTGTGTACACTGGGCTGGATCCTGGGGTGTGGGAGAGGAGCAGGCCAGTCCCTGCCACCCCTAGCGCTCACTGTTGCCTTCGTGGGGAGAGTGGACCTGTAAATGGACATGCAACACAATCTGATACACAACCTGATACATCGGGAAAAATCCAGGAGACTTGGAAAAGGGTCTCCCAGCTCAGCCGGGGAGGGGGTCAGGAAAAGCTCCAGGAAGTGACTTCCACAGGACAAGGCGGAGTGAGCCAGGAAGAGCATTGCAGGTGTTGGGCACACAGGGGAACATCAGGGTGGCTGGTGGGCACAGCTCCAAGCAGCTGGATGTTGCTAGGTTGGGCTGCACAGGGCTGGGGGTGGGAGAGTAGAGGCTGCGAGGGCTGGGCTCTCCGGGTGTTCCTCCTGAGCTGAGCTCTCCCCTGCTGCGTCTCCTGGCTGTTTCTTCCTGGGAATCCAGGGGCACTGGGGCCCCATGGTCTCATGGCTCTGTGGTTGCTCTGATCCTGCCTAGTTTAGAATCAAATCCTTTCTAAGGACAGAAACCCAGAATCTCGCTTGGGTTGTGTATTCAGGGCACCTTTCTGAGTCCACTCGAGTTGAATGTTACTACCTCCATTGTACAGATGGAGAAACTGAGGCTCAGAGATAGGAAGGGCCAGCAGGATGTGTCCTGGAATATCCCCACTGGAAGCTGGGCCTGATTCTTTGGCAGGTGGAACCTGGCCCCCTGGAGGCACTGCGGTAGTTGAGAGGCATGTGTGGTGGGGACTGGAGACTGAGGACGGTTCCTGGGTCTGGGAAATCTGGTCCCAGGGGAAGCAGCCTGTACTTTAAGCGAGGCACTGGCAGAGGAGGAAGGGCCCCTTGTCACATCCTGGAGACGCACCTTCTATAGATGGTGTTTTCACTGTTCCTGTGGGCTGTTTAGGAAGTGTTCTGAGGACATAGGACTTCAGGGTTGAGTATGTTTGGGAAACAATGGAGGAAGCAAAGAGAAAGAGGAGTTTCTGCTCCAGGCCTTCTCAGAGTCTTTACTATGGTTAAGTGCGTTGCCAATCTCTAACTGCAGGAAAAGTGGGCAAAGAAGTGTGGACCCTGCCTTCTGGGAGCTCACAGTTGGTAGAGGAGATCCAGACACAGGAACACACTGAATGTCAGGAGGTTGGAGAGCTATGAAAAGAAATGTGAATGATGGGGTTGGGGGAGGATGAGGGTTTTCCCTGGGAGGATGACACTGAGCAGACTGGAAGGACATGAGGGAGGAGGTGAGGAGGCAGCTGTGTCTTGGGGAAGAGATGCCCAGGCAGTGGGAACAGCATGTGCAAAGGCCCTGAGGCAGGAGGGTGCTTGGTGTATTTGAGAAACAACAGGAGGGTCAGTGGCTGGAGCAAGATGGGCTGAGGGGGAAGGTGGTAGGACATGGGGTTGACAGGGATCAGCTTCCAAAGGCCCCCGTATTCAAAGCTTTTTGGGGAGCCCTTGGAGGGTTTGGGCAGGGAGTGATGATGCCTGGGGACACGCTGCCTCAAGAGCTTATACTATCAAACAACCTCATAAGAACAGTAGCAGAAACAACAGCCATAGGGTGTAGAGGGTCAGTCAGGGTATCATGCCTCTGATAAACCTGGGAGGTAGGCATGGTTAACACCTGTTTTCCAGGTGAGGAAACTTAGGCTTAGAAAGAAGTGCTTGCATCTACATAGTAGGTGCTCAAAAATATTTCTGGAACAAATAAATTAATTGAGAGAATATTTTAAAAATCTTTCCATATCACTTAATATTCTTCAAAAACATCATTTTGAATGGCTGTATGGTATTCTGTTCCAGTCCCATTCACCATGCATTGCCCTGTGGCCAGAAAATTAGGTTATTTTTTGGGGGGGAGGGGCATTAATAGCAATGCTATAGTAAATATTATTGTTGTTAAATCTTTCTGAATCTCTTTCGTTATTTGGTTAGGGTCAGTTTCTTTTTAGAAACAGTTGCTAGATCAGAATACAGGACTATTGACACAGCACAAAATTTCTCAAAATTATTTGAGAAAAGCGACTCTTGCCTTCCAGAAAGAACATCTCAATTGACTCTCTCAGCTGCCGTGTTGGGAGGGACATATTTGGGCTGAGTTTTCTTTTAATTCACTACCTTATTCTGTTCTCTCATAGAATATCCTTAAAAGTGTTGTTTATTTTTTTAAATAGATAATATGTTTATAAGGTACAAAATCCAAAAGGTTTAAAAAATACTTTCTAAAAAGCTTTTCTCTTTCCCCTATTCCCCAGTCAGCCCAGTAGCCACCACTAGGACCAGTTTCTGGTGAGTCCTTCCAGAGGAATTCAGATACAAGGAAATGTGTATGAAGAGAACACCCTTTGAATTAAATGAAACAAAACAAAATACAGCCATGGGGTGCACAGAAGATAGGGAATTGACATCCGAGGCTGATTTCATCTTGGTTTCAAGCTGAGTGAAGAAAACACTGCCAAGCATACACCCTGAGAAAACCATAATTCAGAAAGACACATGCACCCCAATGTTCATTGCAGCACTATTTACAATAGGCAGATCATGGAGGCAACATAAATGTCCATCAACAGATGAATGGATAAAGAAGATGGGGTACATATATACAATGGAATATTACTCAGCCATAAAAAGGAATGAAATTGGGTCATTTATAGAGACGTGGATGGACCTAGAGACTGTCATACACAGTGAAGTAAGGCAGAAAAAGAAAAACAAATATTGTATATTAACACATATATGTGAAATCTAGAAAAATGGTACAGATTTGCCATTTGCCTGTTTGCAAGGCAGAAATAGAGACACAGATATAGAGAACAAACATGGACACCAAGGGGGGAAAAGGGGGCGTGGAATGAGATTGGGAGATTGGGATTGACATATATACACTAATATGCATAAAATAGATAACTAATGAGAACCTGCTGTATAGCACAGGGAACTCTACTCAGTGCTCTGTGGTGACCTAAATGGGGAGGAAAACCAAAAAAGAAGGAATATATGTATACATATAGCTGCTTCACTTCGCTGTACAGCAGAAACTAACAACATTGTAAAGCAACTATCCCCAATTAAAAAAAAAAAAAGAAAACACTGTCAAAGTCTGGTTGCTGGAGGAGGCAACAAAGCAGCCACAGGCCTGTGTACAGGGCGAGATGTTACTGTTGCTCACGTACTGGGTCAAGATAAGGCATAAGGGGCCTTCCCTGGTGGCGCAGTGGTTGAGAGACCGCCTGCCGATGCAGGGGACACGGGTTCGTGCCCCGGTCCGGGAAGATCCCACGTGCCGCGGAGCGGCTGGGCCCATGAGCCATGGCCGCTGAGCCTGCGCGTCCGGAGCCTGTGCTCCGCAACGGGAGAGGCCACAGCAGTGAGAGGCCCGCGTACCGCAAAAAAAAAAAGATAAGGCATAAGGATCCTCCAGCTCCCTGTGAACTGGGGACTGTTAATGATAGTTTGTGCACCTTCTTATTCTTATGGGCTCTCCCTCCCCACCCCACACAGTGGGGAAGGGGAAGGACTGGGACGCTTTCAATGACTCTAAATTGGCACCAGGTGCTTAACAAATCCTTGAAATAGAGGTTGTTACCAGTATGTTGTTGGCACGTGAAGATGCTCAGCGTCCTGGAATCTGAGTGTGTCCAAATAATCTCTCTTTGTGTGGCCTAATTTGGAATCCGGGGGAAGTTCCTTCTGCCCTCCATTTGCCTCACTTTCTTAATCTGGGAATGAGGCTCAGGGTTTTGGTGTTGTTTGTTTTAAGCTCCAGGGCATACAGGGCAGAGGCAAGCTTTGAAGATGCAAGGGTCAGCAGGGCCTTTATCCAGGCATCTCAAATATCTCCCAGCTCCTGATTAAAACTATACCTTTCAGAGAAAAATTAGACCATGACACCATTGTTGTCATTCCTGTTTTAATGACAGGGAAGCCGAGGTCTGAGAGGCACTCTAGCAATGTGTTCATATGGTCATATGCTTTTTAAAATTTTCCAAAGTGAGGTAATTTAACCTCATTCTGTTTATACCACCATCTCCTTCCATTCCGACTTCCCCTTGTGTCAGCTGATGTTGGAGTGAGTGTGAGCATTTTGGGGATCTGGCTAAGAGGACCTTGACATTTAATTTGGGGTTAGTGGTTTTATTTATGTTGTTTCCAGTCACTTTTGTGAGTAGATAATTATTGCCAACTGCCCTAGTAGAGGAATGGCTTCCAGGAATACCCCTACCTGGCACACTGAGCTGACTCACCTGGCACTGTGACATGAAAGTGCAGAGTCAGAGGTCGTAGCTCCATATACATGGATGGTCCTACAGTGCCCAATACCACCAGGATGAGGTAGTAGAGGAGAAGTTTGGAATGTATACATGGAACCGGAAGCTTGTTTATGGAAAGTTTTATGGAGGTATGTCAAACAGGTAATTCACAAAAATAATGTTATTTTTCTGGACTTTGTAGAATTTGTCATTTGTTGAGGTTTCTTTTATCTTTATAACCAAATCACCACTTTATTACCTAATTTTATATCTGTAATTTTGTAGTCCTTTTCTTAAATAACACTCCCTAAATTGTTTAAGCCCCAGGAAGTACAAAGTCTGGACCTGCTCCTACTCAGTTTTCTCTCTGTCTTTTAGGATCACAGACCCTCTCCTCACTGCAACTGTCAAACTGCAGTTACACGGTAATATAACAGAATGGCTGAGAGGACTCCTGCTGGATCCAGACAGACCTTAGTCTTCTCATCTATAAAATAGGCATATTAATAGAATCTCTCTCCTCAGACAGTAATGAAGGCAAATGAGAAAATGTGGGTACATTTGAGCACAATCTAGCAGAGGGCATAGTTAGTGCCAGGTTTGATATTTAGCTGGTCCTCACAGACTCCCTGTTTA